TTAAAGTGTAGACGGCCGGGAAGTAAGAAAACACACAGTCAAATGTATCCTCAATACTTCAATTTATTCATAGAAATACAGATATTATATAGGCATATGTCGAGGGGAGTTTCATCCTCTTAACCAATGAGGATATGAATATGATCCTACACGTAGGATCTTTGGCCAAGAACATGTGTTTATATAAAATGGCCACATGTACAGAAAAACATGGACATATTAGGAATAGACTTTTGCGAAGAATGCTGAACTGTCTTCATGGTTTCATCACGAACTCCTTTACCCTTGTAGTCCTAACATTCATGTCCTTATTGGGGACAGAAAAACAAGAGAAGCTAATGTATACATTTAAGCATGCATACTTCGCATATAAGTAAGACATATTTAAAACATAATATCAAGAGAGAGAGATGGATACAGAAGGAGGGATTCAGAAAGAATGCGTTGTATATATAAGAATGAGAGAGAGGGAGAAAAAGGAGGAGTAAGGCATGTCTGGAATCAACAGAAAGACAGAGAGTGTTTTCTAACACTTACCAAGACAATCTAGTTTTAATGTGATTTTTTTTCTGTAAAAGTTTATTTTTACAAGTATGAAATGTTAAACATTTACAGTTATCTGCGGTATACATCACTTTTTGGCAAATGTCGTCAATCTCTGCCAGAGGTCTTCAACCCTGCTCCTAGGGACCCACTGACCTGCAAAGTTTATTTTCAACCTGCTTCAGCACATCTGCCTAATTTCAAGCAATCCTGAGGAGCCTGATTAGCTTTGGGTGTGTTTGATTAGAGTTGTAGCTAAACTCAGGGACAGTGGGTCCCCAGGAACAGGGTTGAAGACCTCTGATCTATATATACAGAAAACTGTCTCAGATACTGTCATCAAATCACCTTTATTTTTTAAAGTGCTTCGTACAGAGATTGTTACAAAGCAGCTTTACAGTACAGGAATGTAACTAAATCAAACTGATGCAAACTTCAAACAGGAGGCAAATCCAAAATTCAAGACAATAGTGCCATTATCCATTTCCAGTCAGTTCAGTGTTGGTTCAGTTCAACAACTGTGTAAATGTTTGCTGATTATGAAACAAGATCAGTTAAGCAATAAGCAGCTCTATTGAAGACAGTAGCGTCGTTATTCCTTTCGCACAGCTGCATAGATTGTATGAATAAGCTATAAGCATTTGATAGCGTTGACCCAGAACATTTGAACCTTTCCCCCCAAAACAAAAGATATCAAACGACTTCCACTTTCCTGGAGACAAGTATGTCCTTGGACGTTCCTGCATGTGCCTCTTGTCTTTGCTCCGTGTCACGCTGAACCCTGCAGGACCTCATTATAGCTAATCGTCCATCTGTCCATCCCTCAAGGGCCGGCCAACATTCCCTCAACTACGGCTGATCGGAATGCCAAGAAGACAGTTTTTTGGAAATGCTTGCTGGCTTGTGGTTTGTCAGAGCATGAGGTTACAACACAGTGAGGTCAACAGCCTTTTTGCTTCTTGGACTCCTAAAATTATTCATCTCAGATCCCATTCACTGAGAAGAATCTGGCAGGCTGTGAAAAGGCCGCATCTGCTTGAATTCTCAGCATGGAGCGAAGCAATTGTGTACGATTTTGTTTTTAGGTCTGGTTCCAATTTAAATAAAATACTCACTAATAGGTGATAATTAAAGTTACTAGTTCAAAGAATGGTTCAACACAGAAATTTGATGAAATTTGCAGGATGCCCCTGCAAAAACATTATTAAAAAATAGCAGATATGGGCCGAATGTCTTGGGGTGTGGTTCATAATGACTAATCGTTCTGTATCTTGTGAAAACAATGTTCAGACTTCACAAAAGTTGGTATGCATTGACTATAGGACATTATGAGGAAACCTGCCAAATTGCACAAACTTCCGATGCTTTAGTGGAAACCGCAATTTCTCAATTATGAGCCACTTCAAATGTGAATAATAGACGGATGCTATAATATTAATGTTGTGCATTAGATAGGAAATCCTTTTAAGTCTAATAAACACTTTAAGTCTAATGTGAATGGGAAGTTTTCTGATTTAAAGTTACTTTTCTCTTTGGGAACTAGCTTGTATTTTTGTAAGCTGCGTCATCAAACCCTAAAAAAAGTAATTTATTAAATAAATAACTGCTAATAAATAAATATTAGATTTATTAAGAAATTAATCCTAAGTGCTTGGCCACTGCTCAAACATCTGCTTTACTGGCAGTGCGCTTCAACTTTAATCTGCTCTGCTAGCAGTTTTTCCACTTTAGCTCAAGTGCTCGAGCTTATTTTGTGTACTAACATTTTTTTTCTTTCTCTGAAGATTATGCTCCATAACATCCCTGCGGTAAAAGATCACAAGTTCTAAGTAACTATGCTTTTAATAATCCATTTCCTGCCCCCTGACGATTCAGTTGATTTCTGGAGTCTATCTTCCATGCCGCTCTTCTTTCCTCATGTCGATTCCGCTTCCTTTCTCGGTGGCAGATGTCCTGTAAAATCTCCCATGACGCTGTTGAAAAACTCTTTCCTTTTGCTATCAGCATTCTGTCACCTTCATTACCTGCCTATCTTCACTTCGGTGCACAAATCATTTAATTTATCATGCAGAGCATCTGTAGATGTGCATTATGGCACAAGCGGAACATGATGGGAGCCGCAACAAACAGATGGTTTGACGATTTGAGATACCGGTTTGCCTCATAAACCAAAACCTGCTCAGAAAGTATGCACTGTTATGATACTGAATAATTTTTAGGCTTTACTAGCTTTCTGGTTTTCCTTCACAGACATGGCCTTGTGGTTACAACACATGTTCTGCTAATAGGGAACGTGCCAGTGACCCGAGATAGAATTAAATATCATAAAAGCGAGCTTAATGCATACTTTCTTATGTTTCCGGCTTTAGGCACACATATGATATACAGTCCTATATGGCACAGTACTTATTCAGTGACTCATGGGAATAACCCTTCACCTCACTTCAGGCGTCTGGTTTCATATTCCGCATCCTCATAATGGATCAATAAACATCCAGATCATATTCAAACCTCTTTTATAGACTCCAAAGTGAACCAGGTTATAATCAGACCCATACCTGGACAACCCGTTCAGCTCTGAGGGGTTTCACTTCAGTTTGTGGAGTTCACCCGAGTCCATTAACAGACTGACACTTTAAGCGTGTCTCTGAAAGTTGATAATCAGCTGTGGGCCACATCAGCAACACTATTGATTCAGCCAGTGACAGAGACACCCAGCGTTAGCCAATACTGTCACAAACCTGGTTTAAAATGCACTCGGTGTAATTTCATGGGTGGGTTCCCTTTCACCCCTCGGCTGCGAGTTTCTCAAATAATACTGATCAGTCTTTCTGTACATACTCATTTATCACTCAAGCATCTCCTGGTCAGCAGAACTGTCCATTCAGATATTTATATAATAACTGGGCATCACTTTCATTATGTAGTATGTTCTGACATTAGTAGCTGTAGTATATATTTATGGTCCCTTCAAGGGGAATTTGTATTGCATTATCTAACAAAAGGAAATATATTCAGTAATTTAAAAAGAAAGGCAAAATAATAATATTAAAACAAAATTATACATAAATTATTCTAATACAGGCTAATCAATTACATAAACAAAATACATAGGCTATTTTTTTAATAACAATAAATAAAAACTTTGTTTTAATATGAATAATGAAGTGCAGAAATAATATAATAGGAAAATTAAATAAGACATTAATGAAAAAAGGTCAAACACGTAATAATAAAACGGATAAAATTCGTAATAAAAATATGCATAACGATATGCAATATTATAAAGATATCGGTCAGTCTCTCTCTCCCTCTCTTTTAAGAAATGATCGGGTCAGTGATGCTCAGACAGACCGTGGAGCACTTGGATGGAGGCTTCGTCGCAGTGTGCAGCGTTCATTCCTGACGCGTCTGTCTACATCTGAACCCAGCACAGGACTGGACAAGCGGGGACTATAGAACTTGCTACCGACGACTGTATCTGATGGATACGCGTGCCGTGCTGCCTTAATTAAAGAGGGGGACCATTTAGTGATGCCAACATCCAGAGAGCATCTGTGTTGTCGTTACAAGCGCGCGTGTTGAAGTTGGACTGCGGATTGCTTATTGTATCGAGCTTGAAACACAATCCGAGCCGTTTTGACACCGCGGATGTGTCTATGTTTGTATGTGTATGGATGTGAAGACATTCTCTTTACATCGAGCGATGCGTTTCTGTTGTCTCTGACACTATATGGGGATGCATGTAAATAAATGGCATTAGTTTAGTGTTATCATCACGCTTGTTTCTACCTACATTTAGCTTATTCGACTGGAGAAGACGGAGAATGAATTGACGATACTCGCGTTTGCAACTACGGACTTATTTGATTGAAGATCCTGAGGACTTCAGAGGAATACGAGCCAATTAATCTCCATTAACCATTTCTGTTGAATAGAGTTCTTCAAGCTGTTCTTTTATCGCTAATTTGACTAGCCCAATTGTGCTTCATGGGGAAATAGGCTATTTAACTTCACAGGTTTTATTCAAGTCAGAAATATTGTTTAATATGACCGAATCTATCTGAATACACTGTACATCGACGAACGTCATTTTAAGGGGTTAGAGCGAGTAAAAAACATTTCAGAAACTTGCTGGAAGCCCGTCAAGAAGATGTTGCATGGATTGTTGTAACGGCATTCTAGTGTCCACATCGTGTCATTAGGTAACGTTACATCTATGCACCTCCTCATAAAGATCAGCTGACCATCTAAGGGCGTGAAGTTCTTCCAACCTTCTAAATACATTAGTTTAGTGTCACCATCACGCTTGTTTCTACCTACATTTAGCTTATTCGACTGGAGAAGACGGAGAATGAATGGACGATACTCGCGTTTGCAACTACGGACTTATTTGATTGAAGATCCTGAGGACTTTTAATCTCCATTAACCATTTCTGTTGAATAGAGTTCTTCAAGCTGTTCTTTTATCGCTAATTTGACTAGCCCAATTGTGCTTCATGGGGAAATAGGCTATTTAACTTCACAGGTTTTATTCAAGTCAGAAATATTGTTTAATATGACCGAATCTATCTGAATACACTGTACATCGACGAACGTCATTTTAAGGGGTTAGAGCGAGTAAAAAACATTTCAGAAACTTGCTGGAAGCCCGTCAAGAAGATGTTGCATGGATTGTTGTAACGGCATTCTAGTGTCCACATCGTGTCATTAGGTAACGTTACATCTATGCACCTCCTCATAAAGATCAGCTGACCATCTAAGGGCGTGAAGTTCTTCCAACCTTCTAAATATCTGCTTCTACTTCATTCAAAGAGCATTTGAACTTAAAGAACCATGGATATTAAAACCGAGTCTGAAGATAATCTGGACTGTGATCGGCCCGCGCCCATTGAAGTTTTTGCCAGCAGGTCTACGCTCCATGGCATCTCACACATGTTCAGTTATGAACGCCAGTGCATCAAACGATGCATCTGGATCATGTTTTTCATGGGTTCGTTTTCGTTCTTGGTGCTTGTTTGCGTGGACCGCATCAAGTTTTACTTTCAGTACCCCCATGTCACCAAGCTGGACGAGGTCACGGCACCAATGATGGCGTTTCCTGCCATTACCTTCTGCAACCTGAACTCTTTCCGCTTCAGCCGCGTGACGCGCAACGACCTGTACCACGCGGGCGAGCTGCTCGCGCTGTTAAACGGCAGGTGAGTTGTGTGCAAACCTGTAAAACACATTTTAAAATGATAAGGACAGTGACAACTTAAAAAAAAAAACAGGACAAACGTGTTACAAGACTAGAACTACATTTTGCTCAGAGTTGTTTGTATTGTGGCTCTATTTTCTAATTGTTCGTTTATGTTCCTGATGCCAAATTGGATCCGTGTTGTTGTTGATGGCGGGACAGTACTTAACGACTACATTATATACTTCTTCTTATTTTTTTCTTTCTTCTTTTTTTTAGAAAAATATTGAGGAATTCAAAAAGAGCACTAAGCAACATGAATTGGTTGCAATGAAAGGTGACTTTCAACATAAATTTACTGACCAATTTTAATGGTTTTCGCCATTTTGTTTGTTTTATGTGACGCTAAAACTGTCAGGCACACTAGAACTGCTTACTTTAATTACTAAATAATTACAATTTTAAAATTCAATTCAAGGAACATGTAAACATTTTTACTAATCGTAATCTTTTACTTTCGTTAATTCTGACATGCTATTGCACCATGAACATATCTGTATTAATTGTTGACAGCAGTTCCTTTTTGAATTTTTCTGTATTTTATTTAATTTTTTATAAAGACCAAGACACTGTATGCTCAAAGTCTTGATTACAATTGTTTGGAGATGTTAAAGTTTACAGTTTTAATAATATATACATAATATATATTCTGAATTATTATACATACTTTACCATTAGAACTTAAAGAACCATGGATATTAAAACCGAGTCTGAAGATAATCTGGACTGTGATCGGCCCGCGCCCATTGAAGTTTTTGCCAGCAGGTCTACGCTCCATGGCATCTCACACATGTTCAGTTATGAACGCCAGTGCATCAAACGATGCATCTGGATCATGTTTTTCATGGGTTCGTTTTCGTTCTTGGTGCTTGTTTGCGTGGACCGCATCAAGTTTTACTTTCAGTACCCCCATGTCACCAAGCTGGACGAGGTCACGGCACCAATGATGGCGTTTCCTGCCATTACCTTCTGCAACCTGAACTCTTTCCGCTTCAGCCGCGTGACGCGCAACGACCTGTACCACGCGGGCGAGCTGCTCGCGCTGTTAAACGGCAGGTGAGTTGTGTGCAAACCTGTAAAACACATTTTAAAATGATAAGGACAGTGACAACTTAAAAAAAAAAACAGGACAAACGTGTTACAAGACTAGAACTACATTTTGCTCAGAGTTGTTTGTATTGTGGCTCTATTTTCTAATTGTTCGTTTATGTTCCTGATGCCAAATTGGATCCGTGTTGTTGTTGATGGCGGGACAGTACTTAACGACTACATTATATACTTCTTCTTATTTTTTTCTTTCTTCTTTTTTTTAGAAAAATATTGAGGAATTCAAAAAGAGCACTAAGCAACATGAATTGGTTGCAATGAAAGGTGACTTTCAACATAAATTTACTGACCAATTTTAATGGTTTTCGCCATTTTGTTTGTTTTATGTGACGCTAAAACTGTCAGGCACACTAGAACTGCTTACTTTAATTACTAAATAATTACAATTTTAAAATTCAATTCAAGGAACATGTAAACATTTTTACTAATCGTAATCTTTTACTTTCGTTAATTCTGACATGCTATTGCACCATGAACATATCTGTATTAATTGTTGACAGCAGTTCCTTTTTGAATTTTTCTGTATTTTATTTAATTTTTTATAAAGACCAAGACACTGTATGCTCAAAGTCTTGATTACAATTGTTTGGAGATGTTAAAGTTTACAGTTTTAATAATATATACATAATATATATTCTGAATTATTATACATACTTTACCATTACACAAAGTTTAGGGAAGCATATATTTTATATTTGTGAGTTAGCGTTGTGGTTCTATTAATTTTCATAAAGATTGTTTCAAAACTGTCTTGAGAAAGAAATGATTTAACCTTTTATTTACTCTTGTTTACATTTGTGCCGTTCCATATTTCAGCTGTTTTTTCAGCAGTTAATTGATGGCATTGTGAAAGATTCATTTGTTTAAAGCTTATATTTTGAGTATTACACAATTTAATGTTACACAGATGGTTTTGAAAAGCGGTCTCCTAGCAAACACATGAAAACAGAAAATATCTTTGGTTGTTGACAGAGGGAAATTACATCCGTTTTATCTCAAGGTTTATGTCCGTATGATTCTCTAAAGTCTGACTGTTGTTTGTCAGAATTTGACTGTCTTCAGACACTCTTTGTAATTCAATCCGAATCTGTATTTTAGCTTTGATGGGAGGTGAAAACATAAGCTGTAAACATTCTGCCTCGTTGAAAATGAGAGGAGAGTTAGAGCGTTGACTTGCCTGTCTGTAAATGAAAAATGATTTCATCCCCTCAGGTGTTGAAAGCCCCGGTGAGGGCTGAAGTGAATCATCATTGATTCGATGTAACTGATAACACCATGTGTTGTGCTTGTGGCAAAAGCGCAGCCATTAGAGAAGCAGAAGTTCTGCTCTGAGTTTGGATTCTTCTCTCAGAACTGTGATTGTCACTCTGCAGTCGGAGCCGCTCCAGAACTCATTGAACACATCAGTGTCTCTATTGGCAGTACAATCTGTCTCATCGCTTTTCAATAACAACACATTTGGCAGGAATTAATAATTGATGCCGGGCTTAAATTTTTGTTGAAAAGTCACGCTCGACAAATATTCGCTTTGCTGGATTACTTTTTGGACGTATATTGCATTTGAAGGCTTTCTGGTGTGCATCGTCTTAACAGCTCATATGTCAGTTCCAGATTGAAGCTATATGCCTGTACTTTGACATTTTGGTTTGGTTTGTTATTATAAGCATTTAGGGGTCTTAAATGAGGCATGTTTAGGGTTACTGTAAACATAAGGCTTTGGGTGAGGTATCTAGCAAGAGGAATGTTGCTTTTGATTTATGCTTGTGCTTATGAGTGTAGATTTTAGTGTCTTGTGGAGAAACATTGAGATCTTTTTCTTAGAAGAAATATCTGAAAGGAAGAGGACTTCAATGTCTTCACTTACTCCCCATTTAAACTAACTGTTGTGTAGGAGAAAATTTTTTAGATGTTATTTTTCTATCCTGAAATAATTCCAATGTTCGTTGAGTAACTTATAAGGCATAGAAGAACTTTTAGATCGAAGTGCATCTGTCTGTCATTGACATAATTTCCTCTATAAAGGCATCGCTAGGGAAACGTGACTACCGATAGCACATAGCAACCAACTGGAACCCAATCGCCATGGGAACTGGGAGAGCATCTTGGCAAAGTTTTCACTACGAACTCCTCACTTGCAAACACAGCCAACTATGTTACTTAATGACCAAACAAATAACCAATTTGCATAATATCTTTAATGAATAGTACAGGGTAATTAATGCAATCCAAATCATTCTAGGTCAAATACAATATTTAGTTTACTTTTGGTGGATTTTCAAAATGTACATGATTTTTTGGGCTAATATTACCCACAATCCTCTTAAAAACCTAGGGTCCTAAAAAAGTGTTTTGCATTGATGCTATAGAACAGGGCTGGGCAACTTCGATCCTGGAGAGTTTAGCTCCAACCCTAATGGAGGAAGTCATTAGGGGAAGTCATTAACCCATTAGGGGAAGTCGTGGCCTAATGGTTAGAGAGTCGGACTCGTAACCTAAAGGTTGTGGGTTCGAGTCTTGTACCGGCAGGGATTGTCGGTGGGGGGAGTGAATGTACAGCGCTCTCTCCCACCTTCAATAGCAAGGCACCGAACCCCCAACTGCTCCCCGGGCGCCGCAGCATAAATGGCTGCCCACTGCTCCGGGTGTGTGTTCACGGTGTGTGTGTGTTCACTGCTGTGTGTGTGCACTTTGGATGGGATAAATGCAGAGCACTAATTCCGAGTATGGGTCACCATACCGTCACACCTGAATCAATGTCAATATGATCTATTGATCTTGTATTCCATAGGCAGGTGTGTTTGATTAGGGTTGGAGCTAAACAGTGACCCTCTAGGACTGAAGCCCTGCCATAGAAGTACCCTTTTGGGTTCCCCAAAGGACCTTTTCCAGTTCTCAAAAGAACCTATTTATTTAAGTGAAGACGATTAAAAAAAATTTAAAGAAGCTTTTTTTGTGGAATGGAAAGATTCCATGGATGTCATAGGTTCTTCATGAAAACACTGATGCCAGTAAATAACCTTGATATTTGAGGGTATATTTACATGGTCACACTTTATTTTAAAGTCTAGTTCTCGCTATTAACAAACCTTTAACTACGACATGCCTTAATAAACTCCTAATTTGTTAAAAGTCTAGTTCTCGCTATTAACAAGCCTTTAACTACGACATGCCTTAATAAACTCCTAATTTGTTGCGTATTAATGGTTAGTAAGGTAGTTAAGTTTAGGTATTTGGTAGGATAAGGGATGTAGAATATGGTCATGCAGAACATGTGCTTTATAAGTACTAATAAACAGCCAGTATGTTAATAATAGGCATGTTAAAAAGCAATTAGTGAGAATAGTGAGAATTGGTCCCTATAGTGTTACTGTTTACATGACAATGATGTACTAAATACGAAATGACAACATTGTCAAATGGTCCCTGTTCACATGGTTCCGCGAAAACAGCTACTAAAAATGCTGTAATATTAATGGCAGAACAGTAGTTGGCAATGTCACTTTGTAAAGAAACACTACACACCTGCACACATACCTACAGAGTGAACACGTAACACACATCCACGTGATGTTACCATTTCCACAAATTAGCAGTTTTTGTAGTTCACGTGGAGACCGTAACTTCCAGATTTTGACAAGTTTGTGTTTCCAGGCCTCCAAAACGCTGTTGTCTTATAAATAAATGGTCAAAACACATTAAAAGTTTGCCATTTATAGCTGAAAACAGTGTCATGTAAACGAGTGCAAGTTGCAGTACATTGGTGAGGAATGTGAAGTATATGATCGTAAGGATGTAATGCCATTGCAGTACTTGTGCTTCTCTTGTAAAACATGCATTTTCGTTCATAGTGTAGTTAAGTGTGCAAACTGGGATGCAACCAGCTTAGGAATTTGCAGTATTCATGTTATTGTTTGAAGATCGTACACTACTAAGATATGGCCTTGAGTAAGATGCAGTAACAGCTCAGGCCGATAGTTATCGTGGAGTGACAGGCAGAACTTTCCTGCTTTATTCTCTCTGGGATTCATTAGCAGATGTCATCACGGCTCTGTTGAGTCTATTAGAGAAGCTTCACTGACGATCACTTCACATTCACAAGCAATGCAGAAGTGATGCTCTTACATTTAATATGCCCTCAGTCCACCGCGCTTTAGTCTGTCACATCAGAGCAGCATTATATGTTAATGATCTCATATACAGTTTACATAGAAATTGTGTGAGTGTGTGCAACGAAAAATGAAGTACTTTAGTTTCAGATCTAATTCTTGACTCATTATTTGATTAGACTGACAAAAGTCTGTCAGTTATATGAAAAGACTGACAACACTAAATGTTAAATGAAACACTAGAGTAGATAATTTTCTGAAGAAAATGTGCTTGCTCTGATAATGTTGTTGATAAGGTTTCTGAGTGGTTTTAGCATGTTGCTAGGGTATTTTTCTTGGTTGCTAGGTGGTTGCTTATTGTCCTACATCAAAAAAATCGTAATCCTAATAAGCCCTCAAGATATGGTTGTTTTTCCCCCTCTTATCCATTTGGTGAAATAATTTTTGAACAACCACAGCTGTAAGTGCGAGTACTAGTAGCAATGATGCTGTATTTATTAAGTGGTGCAGTGTAGTGTGAGGTCATGTGATTACTGTGATTATCTTCTAATTGCAGAAATTCTGAAACATTGTCATTATATACTGCATACTACTTTTTTAAAACAGGAGGAATTGTACAATCTCTTTACTGTGCAGTGCAGTATTGCAGATGACGTGACCTGAAAGAGTCAGCGAGTAACATTTCTGATCATCTCCTTCTCATCAGTTCTCTTCTCATCTCATGTTAAGATCTTTTAAAGAGCCTCGCTCATCTTCAAAGATCGTTGGATCTGTGTGAAATGAGATCAGTTGAGCTGCGTTTCTTTCAGATTTTGTCTCTATCTCAGACGTGTCTTTTGTGTTGAGTTTAAACACCTGGAGCGTTCGGTTGATTTATTTATTTGTTTGCTGACAAACAGTCAACTAACACCTAAGTTCATTTCTGCCTGTTTCATTGCTTAATCAGTTCTATTCTTTCCACTGGGCCAAGTGGAATATTTAACAGGTGAATGATGGCGGCCTTGAAGGAGCGGCTCTGAATATTAAAAAGTTCAGAGAATAAAAGGCAAAGAGAAAATATGAAATTACTAGAGCGTGGAGCGTCAGAAAGTGGACAGATTGCATGTTCAAGCTTCAGAGACGGTCTGTGGTCTCTAAGACCTCAAACGGTTCCTATGTACGTACGTGAGTGCAAATACTTTTAGCTACGCTAGCTCAGATGCGTGTGATGTTTTGTTTTGAAATATATTAGAATGCAATTTGTAATTCAACTCAAGTGTGTTGTCAGCGCCGCCACGAGGGACGCAACATTAGCATAAATTTCTTTATTCTGACTGTCTTCAACAGTCAGTTTTCTCTTTCAACTCAATTATTGTCATGAAAGAGCAACAATTTCTTCTACTGAGAATTTGAAAATCTGAAAATCTTATTGGGAAAGTAATCCTACGAATAATACATATCAACTATTGATTTGGCAGCATCTAATGTACTATATATAATATAATTTTTTTATTTGGTTAAAAAAACACCAGAGAAAAGAGATGTGAAGTATTTGAAAGTGTTTCAAATCATCGACATCCGCTTCTCAGTTGTTCTTCGGTGCAGGTCTAAAAACTGATGGACAACAGCAGGACGCCGCTCGATTCCCTCCATCAGTCCGAGCTGTTACAGAATGACTTTGCAGCTGTGAATCAGTGCGGCCAAAGGTCTGCGTGACGTGAACACATTCACCTGAACACATTCCCACAAACGCATCTATGCACATAATTCGACTTCACCAGGGAAAAAAAGCAATTCCCCGTACTGCGCTGGCGGGATATTTTTGGCCTATCGATCCAGTGTTTTGCCTGAGGCTCAGTAAGAGAGAACCGCTGCACAACATATTAGAATGTCACTAGAACAATCTCAATTTTCCAGCACAAGAATCGAGAGCGCGACCCCCCCCGCCCGTCAGCATGTTCTCGATTACACACAGCTGGGGGCTTTCCAGAACATAGCCTGAAATGTTCTTGTCGACATGTGGCCTCATTGTTTTTAACATACTAAACCAGTTTTTATTTTTCTGGCTGTTGATGGATTGAGCTGCGAATGTTTTAAAGATTGTATTCTACTCTATAAAGCTTACTGTGTTGAATTTGATATGCACAGTTCGAAAAGCTTGTTCACACCAAGGATAAAACCTATAATGATAACGATAAAGATGTAGTTTTAATAATCGCTCTAAAGTATAGCAGAGTCACACCACAGCTATAATGTTAACAGCACAGATGAACGATATCATTAGAATCACTTTCAGAATGTTTTTTTCCAGCTGTTCAAAAATGAAAATATTGACAGCCAATCAGAATTTTTCCTGCTTTAAAGAGCTTGAGCATTTAAAGGGGCAGGCGACATAACGGCAACGTGCACTTATAATAAACAAAACATTATCGACGCTATAGACACTAATATAATATAGTTATTGTTCTTGGTGTCTTGGTGATCAAAAGTTTGCTGTTATACACAATTTATTTGCCATCTTATACATTTAACATAAAATCAAGGCCATGTAGGTAGGACAAATAATATTAACCAGTAATATCAACAGCCACTTTTCATGATCCAATCAAATTCCAGATCCAAAATCAGGTCCTGCCCTCCATTATATCACATTCAATATTTAACTCGCACTAAATAACTCAAAAGTGCATTGCATTAAGTTAAATGTGTTGTGGATATTGATATCACTTCATCAGTGTTTATTCTGCCGTTTTATTGCAGTTTTATTTAGCAAATTTTAATTGTCATTTTTGCGAAATAAGGCAGGATGATGATGCAAAGTGCGATTGCAGTTATTTCCAATTTGATTGTCACACTTAAGATGGAATGTCAAGTTGTTTAGGTCATTGTGTTGTGGGATGTTCTTTAGTATACTTCATTTTTTACATTTTAGACATTGTTTTAAGGCATTTTTTGCAACATCATCGCAAATATGGATGCTGCGCACTTACTACATTGTGCAGAAATATTATGGTAGTGTGCTATTCTGAAATTTTTTTCTCTTAGAATGTAAATAGTCAGCATTTTTTAATATTATTGTAAATATGCAAATACCTCTGTTCTGATTGGTTGCAGACTCCTGGCATTTCAGATGTCCATCTGGTTTGTTTGCAAACAACTGACACAATTCTCCGCAATGTAACTTCCTGTTGCCATGCGGTGAAAAACCAGTCACGTTGCTGCTACGGTAAGAGACAAGGCGTAGCGACCGGGAGCCGAGGGAGCTTCAAAGGGATTGGAGGACTGACAAGCGGAAGCAATTAACTTGTGTCTCATAAGCCATGTGAAAAACAAGGATTTATCCCCATGTAATTAGCACTGTTTGTGAAACCACGCCGGTTCTGTGTTGATATACAGGCCCGCTGTGCTCACCGTCTCGCTGTCATTTCGCGCCTTTGCGTCTGGGAAATGCTCCCGTGATTCTTTGTGCCACTTCACAGCTTGGAAATGGTAACAGTATTGTTGCAAGAGTTTAACAGAGCAGGTGGAAGAGCAGAACAGGATGGACTTGTGAATAAAAGGCTTGTTTGTTGACAGAATGTATGGTTTCAGAGGGTAAGAACTAAGAAGAAGAAAATAAAAAAAATTAATCTGTCATTATTTACACACACAAGTTGTTTTTCCAAACTGTGTGAGAAGATTCCCACAATCTTCAAAATATCTACTTTCATGTTTGTGAGTAAATGATAACAGAATTTTGGGGTGAACTATCCCTTTAAGTCACATAAAATCTAACCCGGTTGTGTTTTGGAGGCAGGCTAGTCTTCAGTATGATGGTGTGCTGGTTTCCCAGCAGACTTTTACTGAGCTAAGCCACCGAGTGTACCTTCTAACCAGGGTAAAACCAGACATAGTTGGTCCACCAGCTAGAGCAGTACCAAAATTGCATTTAAACGGATAATTCCTCCCAAAGTGAAGCTTTTGGTCATCATTTACTCATGTTAATCTAGACATGTTTGACTGACTTTCTACTGTGAAGCACAAAAGAAGATATTTTGATGAATGTCAGTAGCTGCTTTGCCATTACAGATTTGCGCAAACTTTTGCAATATATTATAAATGTCGATAAAAAAAGCTATTGTGAAATGACGGCGGTTCCATTAACCAGGGTTTTTTTTTTTTTTTTGGGTGAACTATCCCTTTAAATTGCATGAAAACTAGTCTTCAGTATGATGGTGTGCTGGCTTCCAAACAGAATTTTATCTAGCTAAACCACTAACTTGAGCTTCTAACCTGGTTAAACCAGATGTAGTTGGTCCACCAGCTAGACCAGCATCAAAACAGTATTTAAATGGATGGTTTACCTCAAAATTAAGCTTAGGTCATCATTTAGCATCCTCGTGTAGTTTGTAACCTGTTTGTGACTGATTTTCTAATACTAAACAAAATAAGATATTTTGAAGAATATCAGTGAAAGTCAATAGGGTCCAACAGCAACACTGGACCACATTGACTTTTCCTGTTTGGGGGGGAAAAATCATAAGCATAAATCAGCCAGGAACGCCATGGAAATTCAGGTTTCAAAATGGCTTTTATGTAAATGCAGATCCTAATTATGTACATTTGTTTGCTCAGATTGCACTTTAATATACAGTATTTAAATGCGCTTCATGTGTTTACCGCTTTAATGCACAGCCAAACTGCATAATGGGAGAAATCCCTTCTCTGCTTTATTTAAAACAAGTTGTTTGCTTCCAGAATAACAACATTGTGAGGGACCCCACTCTGCTTACTTTAAATCCCTTGGAAGACTTTTGAGACTTCCCAAACGGTTCATTCTCAGAGTTAATGCGCAATAGCGGTGCATTTGTTGTGGCGTGACGTTTAATCAAGCTGCGTCACCTCTCCTGTAATCTGAGAAGTCTGTTTAAGGAAAACCAACATTTTTTCTGCGCTGAGAGAGCGATGAGGAAGATGCTCTGTCGTTTGTTATACCATCTTTGGAAAATTAAAGTGCTTATGGCCCATAATCCAATTGCGCCTTCCCCAACTCCACTTACCGAGCTTCACGCTGATTACTTTAGGGAGTTCTGGCAGGGCAATATTAAAACTTTGCACACACATACACACAGAGCAACCACCGAGGGAGTAGATACAGAAACATCCTAACTCAGTTGGTGGAGTTCCTGGCGGCATCTGCTTCCTGTTGGCATCATTAAAACGTGAGTCTGAATGAAGTTAGAGACTCCTAAGAGCAGGAGAAGGTGCAGGGGCCTTGAAGAACCATGTGACAAAGGCAAGACACTGCAGACAAAACCATTTTTTCAGAAGTCAATTTTGAGATTTTCTTCTACTATACATATTTTAAAAGCATTTTCTCAAAAACTTGAGCAGCACTTACATACACCAAACTTTACGGTTTTATTCAGAGGGATTTGAAACCACATAATGCTGAGTAAATGATGACCATTTTAAATTTTTGGGTGTACTATATACTTTTAAAGTAGTTGATGTTGGCAGCTGTGTATTTTAGATGTTCCTCTGTGAAAATCTACCTGATCTCATGACGAAAACGCACCTGTGGGAACTTTTTTGCAAGACGCGTAATACATACAAATAAGTGCATATCACTGTAGTTTCCAACAGAAATTAAGACTAGAGGTGGTAAAACAGCAAGCACTTGTAATTGTTTTTGTACACAGTTATGATTACAGCTCCATATGTTTTGCTTTTTGGACGTAACAAGCTTGCTCGGTAGCTTAGCCGGTTCGGAATTGGACTTAGGATGTGAAATCCTTGGGTACGAATCCCGTGAAAAACATGACTCACGATGGAAGAGCTGAGAGATCGCAAACCAAGATCATAAAACAAGCTAAAACGGTATTCTTGCAATTTGCGTTTTTACGTCACATTAGCTTTTGTTTATACTATCGCGTAGGTTTAGGTGAAGTGCAGATGGAACGTTATTTTAAAACATCATGGATCATTAGCGTTGTAGGGCCACTCAATGGACATGTCAAGTCAGAACTGCGGTGACATACAAAACCAACGTCACATAAAACGTACCATATGTACGTTCATCTGTTCCGGGGGGAAAACCGAGCACTCTTTTAGCGCCACTCAGTGGACATTTCACATTGAATATGTCACGAAACGTACATGGCGCTACGTATTTCGCATCTTCCGAGCAAATTCCCACAGGTACGTTTTCGTCATGAAATCAGGTTGGTGAAAACTGCCAGATTTGGTGAACAACTGCTGATGAAGGATAATTCACTCCAAAATGAACATTCTGGCATAATTTATTCAACCCATGTTGATGTAAACCTCTATGACTTCCTTGCTTCTAATGTTCGATCTGGTCTGTTTGCGTAAAATAAAAAGTTCACAATGATATATTGTGTCTGAAATTGTTGTTGCTTAACATTATTTGGAAAACTTGTTTGACCTCCTTTCTTCTGTAAAATACAAAATGAGGTATTTTGAAAAAAAAAAACCCCAAAAAACATTGAAATTACATTGAAAGTCAATGGGGTCCAAAAAACATTGGAACCATCGACTTAAACTGTATGGGCCAAAAAACAGTAGCATAAATTTGGATTTGTATGGACAAAAGTGATTTTATTTTTCCACCAATATTTATTTCTCCCCAAGCTTCATAAATATCACAAAAAGCACTATAAAAGTTTCATAAAATATCGTAAAAGTATGATATCTTTGAACAGACTGAAATTATTGCTAAACAATATTTGCTCCATCTCTCAAATGTTCACTTTTGCACATTCAAAAGTGACATTTCAATGTGTTGCATCAGTGACATAAAATTGAGCAATTCTCATGTGCTTTGTGTTAGAGCATGTTTGAATGTGCTGAATCATTACTTTTCAGAGGTTAGCGACATATATTTGGGTCCATTGCTAATTGTACGGCTTGAAATATAGTGCAAAAGTCATATGGACTACAGTAACGATTTTTTTATTTTGCTTTTTATGTAGGTTCCCGCTTTGAATTTAGGCTAAACATCTTTTGTCCAAATCTCGCTTTAAAATTTGCAAAGTTTAGGTATACGAATATCAATAATCCTCCAGTGTCCCATAATGTTCGAATAACAGTACAGTGAAGCATGAACCCTTTCATTAGTTGACTGGAAAATAAAGAAATAAACTCTGTGGATCACTTTAAGACCATCCATCCTCCCAATGTTGACGCAAATAGTCTTGCTTTGAACTCACTTTGTCACCCGCTTTGTAAATAATTATATTCTCAGTCTAACAGAGAGAAATAGCGCTCCACTCACGCTCACAGGTAGGCCTTGCTCGTACAAGAGCTAAGCAAACTGCTCCCAGCAGGCATTTAATAAGAGAGTTGTAACAGGCCGCCGGTCGAAATTCAATATTCTCTAAAGGTGAATAAATCACGGATCGCAGATCCGTGCCAGATCTCTATGTGGGCTTACTTAGAGTTGGAAAATACCCACCCGTCGAAGGTGAGATGGTGAAGCCGGTGGTCTTAAATTGAGTTAACCTTGCACTGTGGTCAGCCTCACAGAGCTGTCGTTCTTCTGTGTAGCCATTATTAGCAAAGCGAGATATAAAAGATGAGGCTAGCAGGTTCTCCGGTGAGCAGTGGTCACTCCCACGCTCGCCGGATGGGCAAAGAAAGGATATTGCCACAAATAATAGTGATATGAACCTTAACCGAAGCAGACCACCTGTTATCACATAAATCCTCCTGGTTTTGTGAGGTGCTAACAGTGTTTCTGGGAGTACTTGTGAAGAAATCCTCACAGGATCATGTCCGAGGAACAGTTGGAGCTTTTTCAATTTGGTTCTGGCCGTTTGCCACTTTTTCTGAGATCAGTGAGAGGACGAGAAACTATTGTGAGCTGGTCACGGTTGTCACGGTTTTGGCTTTTACATCAAGACAAAATCTAAATTAACTATTTACTTGGTCTTATTGTGAGTGTTTTATCTGTTATTTTAAAGAAGAAAAAAAAGGTTTTTGTAATCGTTCATTACAATTAAATAGAAATAGCCAGACTTAAGTCAAAATAGCATGATGGAAATAGTCATAACTGACTATTTACTTGGTTTATACAGTGCATGTTTCTGGTCTTGTTATGTTTATTCTCATATTTTAAAGAAAAAACATTATTTTAAAAATGACCATTTACTTGGTTAAATTAATATGTTTCTGGTCTTATGGTAAATGCTTTATCTA